TAGTAAATATTTACGTGATAAAAATAGGCGTGAAAAAAAATTTTACGTCCTAAAATAGGCAATTTAAACAATATATAAATGATAGTTTAAAAAAAAATATATATATATATATATATATATATATTATATATCCAAATATAAGTAATCCATATAATCCAAAAATAATCCAAATTATTTTGTATGTGCAAGTAAAATTTAATAATGCCTAATGCACTTCAAAAAAAGTGCATCAGGCATTATTAAATCTTTTACTTTTTTTAGAGAATGAATTTCACTTATCAAACGAGGGCGTGCACATTTTGTTTTCTTCTCAGTTCATCTGATAGAAATACAAGCTCTCATTTGCATGCACACAACAGATCTGTATCTAAGTGAGGCGAAGACTTACTTTCGAGCTCTATTGCATTGTGTTGACACAAACAGGAAAAAAGGAAACATAAAATAGACAAATGAATTATCACAACAGTTAAAATGTGGCATGATTATTGTGTTCAGATTGCCAGCAATCTCCATCAACACAGTCATCAGGTGATACACTTTTATATTGACGTCCCAAAAATCCCAACACAAGTCCTTTCAGCACATCATCCACAATCGTCCATCCTACTTGCCTTTTTCTGCATTATCATTTTCGCACTAGCGGCCCCAAACTATATTGGCGAAAATAAGAGCGTTTTTCCTTACAAGATTCCACAAACATTCCCTTCTGATCCGTCCCTCGATTGCCATTGTTAAACTTACCAAACTACAAACTACTCATAATAATAATAATTGTTAGCTACTAAATTATTAAAAGACAACTACAATACTTTCAACCATAAAACCCATTAAATCACATTTTTTTTGTAAATATACCACATTTCACATTCACACATGCAGCAATTTTCCATCTTTTATCCATATTTCTATAAAACTCACATGTCATTAAACAAATTTACTCTAAAACCTGTTTTCAACTAAAAATTGATTTTTGTGTGTGTTTTGGCCATTCATTTACACATCAACAGCAGTGTTTTGGGCACCTAAAAACGCAAACTTTTGAAAACAGGTTTCAAAGTGCAAGTTTTTGAAAAATACCGTTATTGTCTCTGTGTTACCTACAAAACCTTGACATCCAAAAATGAAGCAACTCTTTTCAAAAATCACAAAAACAACAAAAAAAAAAAACAAAACAAATGCAAAATAGGTGCGGTTCCATCAAGTTGTTCGAGTTGACAATGGTGTTATTGGTAACCTACAATGAACGCGTTCATATTTTTGGGCGAACGTGAACTGAATGTACTGTATTACTGCCTGATGAACATTACTGTGAACGCATTCATTCTGGTGTCTGTGAACACACCATCTCTCACTTTGACTTCGTACAGATTTCTATAGAGCCTTCCAGGCGAAACAGGCCTTACTATGTAGCGAAAAAACACCAAATCTGGCAACACAAGACACCAGTGTCGCACCACTGCCGCCGTCGACAAAGCAGCGAGCAAGGAGGCGTCGTATGATCATTTAAACAGATTTTATGAAGAGGTCGGTGAGGATGGGAAAAATCAAACTATGAATGAACTAGTTCATTTTTTGAACTATGAACAGAACTAATTCATTTTAAAATGTGTAACCTAGTAACCAACAGTAAATAAAACACTATCAACAGACACAACCGATTAGTCACGTGGGTTTAATGTTCGCTACGTCCGAATTTATCAGGCAAATGCGTTTCAATCTTCGCACAAGTCAAAAACCATTTCAAGCGAGCGTAAAACCTTTTTAGCAAATTATGAGATTTTTTTAACAACATTTGCCATTTCCATCACATCGCCATCTACTGGCCTGGCATGAATAATACAACGTTTACACAGATCTGTGTGAACCATCATTTTGACAACGTTGTCGTCTGTAAGCGAAAAACGTTTCAGTTTTTTGGTACATTGTTGCCGTGTAAACGTACCCTAAGTGATTCGTAACAAACAACAGCAATTAACAGGACATTAAAAGAAAGACATTGTAAAATGACATTGTGAAGCATAAAAAGCATAGCATTCATAGCATTACACTGTTAAAATATCTGGAAAAACTATTTTGAAAATGACTTTAGCTAGGAGCTAATTAAAAGCTTTTCCATGGTTTTTCTATGCTCTAAAGTTCAAAGTTCAACTTTTAAAAAATGCGCCTCTAGACTGTGCTTTTTTTTCTTCATTTCCCTACCCTGCATGTTTTGTGTGAATTAGAGCCCAACCGATAAAAGATTTTGAAGTCCGATACCGATAAAAATATTTTTGGGTTTTAAAATCCGATATTCCGATATATCGCCGATATTTTATTTATTTATTTATTTTTAAACTGGACATAATAGTCACAAATTTTGTAATGCTTATTTAAGTTAAGAGAACTGATGGGGATGTTCTTTTAATTGTTATTCAAGCAATGTATGTATCGTGCCCAACTCAACGAGTGTTGCCAACAGGAACGGTGTAGAGTGCCCTCTGGTGGACAAATTATACAACTCCAACACTCATGACATGGTTCAAGCGTGTTTCATCCGTTTTTATTTTATTTTTGAAATATTCATTTATCGGCCATTATAACTGCCGATACCGATAGTTTGGAAAATGCCTAATATCGGCCGATACCGATAGTTTGGAAAATGCCTAATATCGTCCGATAATATCGGTCTGCCGATATATCGGTCTGGCTCTAGTGTGAATGGCCCCTTCCGCCCCATTTGTACTCTTTGGACACTCAACCATTATCTTAAACAATAAAGTAAATATTTTAACATCATCTTTGATAAAAAGACACTTTAAAAAACAGCAGCTTATTACTGGAGCATATCAGATTGCTCCTGACCTCCATTATAGCAGCAGATGTGCTGTGTGGGAGTCTTGTGCCGCTCATTTAGCTAGCAACTCCCTGGCCCAAGTGTGCTGATCCTACAGACCCCACTGTTGATTAAAGCGGGGGGTTGGAGGCACAGCAGGCGGTGCATGGGATTTTACAGCTGGCACCACCCACGCAACCACCCGCCCCTCTCCTCACGCTCTGCATGCGCATACGTGGACGTTCTCTCCTCGTCCTCAAAGCCAACGTTAGCAACCTTCTTTGTGACGTGCCATCAGCAGCGCATTTGCTTATCGCAGCTCGCCACCTGTTTCCACAGCAAAGGACAAACAGACCTCCAAAAACAAGATGTACTCCTTATTTCCTGTGTGGTCCTGGCATGTGTAGGACACGAAGATGGCCTGAAGATAATTTCAGCGCTATGCTAGACTCGCTCGCCTAGTACTGATGCATGATAAGAACGGCTTCGATCTGTGGAAATCGATCCTTGTCGTCCTCATTATGCAAAACGGCATGATTTCCATGTTAAAGGACACACGGCGAAGCTATTAGTGCAGACAGGGCCAACTGGGAAGTTTTAGATTTGGCCTGCAATAGCAGTTTCCTGTCTTTATGCGTTTGGAATGGGGCCAGGTGGTCTTCAAATATAAAGGACACTGAACAGAAAAAGGGAAGCGAATTAAAGTAGAAGATAGAATACCACCATGGTCTGTTAAGATGAGTGTGCGCACATCTGAACGGCCGTATTGATGCTCACATATAGTCTAAATGAAAGCATGTGAACTCATATACAACCATAAAAACACAGGAGCACACACTAATGGTTTTGCAAAGAGCCGGGAGCGAATTGACCATTAATCTGTGGTGTCATGTGTGAGCAGTAGCCTGTGGTTTATGTGCGCTGGCTGAACATTAGCCTGCTCGCCTGTATTCCCAACATCTCTCCTCCAAGCAATCTCAGCCTGTTTTCTTTCAGCTATGCATGCACCTATAAAAAGAGCCAGAACATTGTTGTGACATTACCCTCAGCGTTATTAGTTGTGATGTATCACGCAAACCACAGCCTGACGGCGTCTAATTCCATCCCGTGGCAAGAGTGAAGAAGAGCAGACAAATCAGAAGTTTGAATACATTGTCTCTACCATCAACTTAACATAATGAACCAAGGTGATTTGCAGTGGTTGCTAACGGCTAGCTGGTGGTTGCTAAGTCTTCTATGTGGTATCTGGGGAGTCGCTAGAGGTTCTGGCTTGTTACTAGGTGGTTGATGGGACATTCTAGTTTAGACCTGGTTCTTGGCAGCAGTAGAAGTGTGGGCTGAAATAATAGATGTGTATTTTTGTGTGTGTGGGGGGGGGATAGATAGATATACAGTATAGACAGACAGACAGACAAAAAGACAGATAAACAAACAGACAAATAAACAGACAGATAGACAAACAGACAGACAAACAAACAAACAGACAGACAGACAGACAAACAGATGGATATAGACAGACAAATAGACAAACAGACAGACAGACAGACAGACAGACAGACAGACAGACAAACAAACACATAGACTAACAGACAGATAGACAAACAAAAAGACAGTCAGACAAGAAAACAGACCCAGACAGACAGATAGACAGACAGACAGATAGAGAGACAGACAGACAACTAGATAGACACACAGAAAGAAAGATGGACAGACAGACAGACAAAAAATAGAAAAATAGACAGACAGACAGATAGACGGACAGACAAACAGATAGACAGACAGACAAACAAACAAACAAACAAACAGATACAGACAAATAGACAGGCAGATAGATAGATAGATAGATAGATAGATAGATAGATAGATAGATAGATAGATAGATAGATAGATAGATAGATAGATAGATAGACAGACAGATAAAAAGATAGATAGACAGATAGACAAACAGACAGGCAGAAAGACAGGCAGACAGACAGACAGACAGACAGAAAAAGATACAGATAGACAGACAGACAAACAGATATAGACAGACAGACAGACAAACAGATAGATAGACAGAAAGACAGACAAACATGCAGAAAGACAGACAGACAGACAAAGAAACAGATAAACAGACAGACAAATAAACAGACAGACAGACAGACAGACAGACAAACACATAGACTAACAGACAGATAGACAAACAGAAAGACAGTCAGACAAATAGACAGACAAACAAACAGACCCAGACAGACAGACAGATAGACGGACAGACAAACAGATAGACAGACAGACAAACATATAGACAGAAAGACAGACAGACAAACAGACAGACAAACATACAGAAAGACAGACAGACAGGCAAAGAAACAGATAGACAGACGGGCAAATAGACAGACAGGCAGATAGATAAACAGACAGGCAGACAGATAAAGGGGCCGTTCACAGAATTCATTTTTCCATTCCACTGTGCTACTTTGCAATTGTTTTTTAAACGCGCCAGACGAATGTCTTTAAGGTTGTGCTCGTGTCTTTTGCAGCATGTCATGCATGACAAGCCATTCTAAAAAAATCCAGCAATAAAGTTAAAAGAAGTTCAACTTTTTAAAAATATATTTCTAGACCTTGTGCTTTTTTTCATGCCACTCACTCTTTTGCGTTTTTAACAGTTTTCAGCTGTGTGAACCGGCTTAAACAGATTGGAAGATAGACAGTGCAGTCTTATTTCAGTGTTGTTATTTAAGCACAGTTTGCCTTTTACATTCAGTTTTTCCGATTTAGCTAATTATGCGGAAAGAACATATTTCAATAAAGAATATTTGTCTTTATGAGCATCATAGTTGATTCAGCTAATTATAAAGACCAGTGCGAGACAAAACAAACAAAAGGGATTAAATACTCTCATCTAAATGCGTGAAACGTTTCCCCTCAATCTCAAAATGGCGAAAACACATTTCAAAGCTTAACAGGACAAATAAATCTTATCACTGAAAAATTGTAATGTTTACTTTATAGATAGCATTAAACTGGTCACAACGCTAACATCATAGAGAAGATGAAAAGTAGGACAGAGTGATGAATAAAGTTTAAATGAGGAGAGAAAAGAGAGAAAGGAAGACAGTCTGACAGAACCCTAAAATGAAAGGCGGCGAAACTTGTCCCTTGACACCTTCATGAATAGTGAAACAGGAGTAAAGGACGATAGGATGTGCTCTCCACATCCGTCATGGTTTCCAGTTGCTTTAGAGATGCTCCTTATTCAATATTAGCTTACACGGCCCACAATAACAGCTCTAGCCATGGACTTCAAAGCCATTCACTGCTTTGATACTGTTGCTTTGAGATAAACACAAATTCAGCTCAGTTCAATTACAGTATTTCCTTAGGTCTTGTTGAAGAGTGTCTCCTGATCATTTCAACCCTTTCACAGGTTTTGGTAGAGCACTTTTTGAATTATGACATACTTCTGAAAAAGATTTTTGTTGTTCCAACCCCATAAGACTTTTTTTCATCTTCGGAACACATATTAAGATATTTTTGATGAAATCTGAGAGCTGTCTCACTTCTTCATAGGTTGCTAGGTAATTTCATCGGCCTGCCCAGAAAAGTGAGTAAAGACATTGTTAAAATAGTCTTAGACATTACAGTGGCTCAACCTTAAGTCTATCAATCTTTTCAGAAGAAAATAAATAGTCGTTATTTTGGTTACAAAAGTATTCTCGTTGCTTGATAAACTTAAAGGAATAGTTCACTTCAGAATGAAAATTCTGTCATCATATACCCTCAAGTTGTTTCAAACCTGTGTGAATTTCTTCTGCTGAACACAAAGGAAGATATTTTGAAGAATGTCAGGAACCAAACAGTTAAGTGGACCCATTGACTTCCATAGTAGGAAAAAAAATACTATGGAAGTCAATGGGTCTAACTGTTTACTGACATTCTTCCAAATATCTTCCTTTGTGTTAAGCAGAAGAAAGAAATTCAAGCAGGTTTGAAACATCTTGAGGGTGAATAAATGATGACAACATTTTCATTTTGAAGTGAACTATCCCTTTAAGGTTGAGCCCCTGTAGTCACTTGGACTAATGTCTTTACTAACTTTTCTGGGCCGGCAGATTGAAATTACATAGAAGCCGATGAAGGAGTGATTCAGCTCTCAGATTTCATCAAAAATATCTTCATTTGTGTTCCGAAGATGAACTAAAGTCTTACGGTTTTGGAACAACATGAGGGTGAGTAATTACTAACAAAATTTTAATTTTTCAGTGAACTAACCCTTTGACAATTGATCATTGGTTCTGTACCTTTTAGAACCTTGCATAAACGTATTAGTAACAACAATAATTAGTGAATGAGATAATGAAATTCTGTCTAATAGAGCGAAGGTGATAATCGTGGTCGATAGTTAATACATGGCTGATATTAGATTACACACTATTTTGACTAAATGAATTAAATGCTATAATGTACTGTACTATATAAAAAAATAGATATTCACTTTGAGATTCGCTAAAGGTTACATTTAACAGCATTATACATTTTTTGCATTTTTAAAGATTACTTTTAGAGTAAGTAATTTGGGGTCAGTAAGATTAAAAATAACAATTTTATTCTGCAAGGATGCATGAAATTGATCAAAAGTGACAGTAAAGACGTGATGTTGCAAAAGATTTCTATTTCAAATAATACTGTGCTATTGAAAAAATAGGAAAAAATTACATCACAGTTTTCATAAAAAGCAGAAAATCATCTGAAATATCATGTGACGCTGAAGACTGAAGTAATAATGCTGAAAATACAGCTTGAACACAGGAATAAATTACATTTTTAAATATATTCAAATAGAAAACTGTTCTTTTAAAGGGTAAAAATAGTTTACAATATTCTTGAAATTTGATCAAATAAATGCAGTCTTGGTAAGCATAAGAGACTTGTTTAAACTTTGCATTTCAATTGCATTTCTACTATGTTTACTCATTTGAATAAAACAATCCTTTATATACATACAGACGTTTAACATAACCTACTCTAATTAAAAACAAAGATAGTAGAATTGTTGGTGTGTGTGTGTGTGTGAGTGTTTGTGCATGTTGGGGGGGGGGGTGATATGTACATGTAAAAGATAGAAGTTAATTCAGAATGCTGAAGTCTCAGTTACTATTAATGGATATTTCAGCTTTGGTGGACGCTCATAATACAAGATTTGTAATGTTTCCTTTAATGTTTCAAATTGTATTTCTGAGAAAAGAGGGTTGCTGTGGTAAAGACTCATGGTAAAGTGCTTTATAACCCAACTTTAAAGGCCACAATTTCAAGCCAGTATCTCTGTAAGTTGCTGAAAGTAAAACATAGTGAAGAAACTACAAACCAAGAAGGTTTCAGCTGAAATGAGGTGGTTTTATATTACCATTTTCCCTTTTGTGTATGCCAAATAATCAGTCACTGGATGAGTGTGACATTTACAGGGCACTTACATCCACTTTTAGCTGGCTCATAAATACCAAGAGTGAGACTGATGGGGGGAAAAGCAAGTGTCCTTACTAGTGCCTTACCGAGGGCTGAATTAACTCTATAATGGAAGAGCAGAGCATCAATACAACGAGCGATACTAAATATCTCACATTAGCTAAATAGATACGGTACAAATGCATTTACCCATTCAAACAGGACAAAAATCCATTAACAATCCATTATCAGCGGCTCCTACACTGGGCTACAGGTGTCAAACAATTCAGAGCTGGAACCGTTTAACTCTCACTGAAAAACAGAGACTGTGAGAAGTCCTCAAGGCTCTACAGAGGTCTGACTTACTGGTGAATGGCTTGAAGGAACTTGCGTTGGTGTTTCCTGACTTTGGCGTGGTCCATCTTCCTCACCAGCTTGGTGTTTTTATAAATGAGCCACGTCTCCCTGAGAACATTAGCAGCTGTGTTTTTCACCTGTGGGAGAGAGTTAGCATAGTAGCATTTATCACACGGTTCTGCTGAGGCTTCCTGGGCCCTGATGTTTGAACGTGACTTACTTGGTTTGCATAATATGTTTTAGTGTAGAGTAAACCTGGGATTTCAACTGGAATATTTAAATTACTAGCAATCAAACAAGCTAACTAGCTGCTAGCAAGCTAAATCACTAGATTTAGCTAACTAGCGGCTCTTTTTAAAGCAATCCCAGACAGCAAACTGACATTGAATCAACGTGGAAACGACGTCTCTCATGACATTGAAACAACGTTGATTTGCTCATCGAATTAACGTTGAACCAACGTCAGACGCGGCATTCTTCAAAGCTAAATGAAATCGAAAATTGGTTTGCTTTCATAACGTTGAAACAACGCGTTGATTTCAAGTTGATTTTCCGTTAGTTTTGAAAGAATGACGCGTCTGACGTTGGTTCAACGTTAATTCGATGAGCAAAACAATGTCAGATCAACGTTGTTTCGATGTCATATTTCCACGTTGATTCAATGTCAGTTTGCTATCTGGGAATACAAGTGAATGGGACAGGAGCTGCAAAAATGTCACACACAAAAAAACAAACAAACAAACAAAAAAAAACCCCGCCATAAAGGTTCACCAAGAACATCAGTTTTACCAGTATATAGCAGATAGGAGACTGCTTAGGAAACCAGTTTGAAAAAAAAAAAATCCTTTTGGTAACAACAGAGAATAGATTTTTTACAATGACTTTAAAAACCATTAAAAAGATAGAACTAATGTGACAGTTTTTAATCAATTGTATATGCTTTTGTTGAAACCATCAGCCTACATTACTCAAACTTTTGTTTTCAATAATTGTGTTCAACGTGGAAAAACTACATTACCCATGATTCTGCAATGATTCTGAATCACGACAAACAAACTATCTTTGAAGAACTTTTAAAGAACTATTTCGCGTCCACCCACTCCCATGAGGCACTGCAAATGACAAGTCAGTTTCTCTATGGCTGCATCCGAAATCGCATACTTACCTACTATATAGACCATTTCACAAGATGTAAACAACACTGGTCCAGAAGCACTTCCTGTTTCAGTTTGTAACTGTTTTCTTTATTTCACATGTAAAGAAAACATCGTAAAGATGTTTGTTTAACTTTTTGATTCAGTTTTAAATGTTCTGTTGGTTGTATTTTATCCCAGCTTTTATGTAGTGTTAAAAAACTGAAACAGGAAGTGCTTCTGGACCAGTGTTGTTTACATCTTGTGAAATGGTCTATAGTAGGCGACAAACAAAAGAAGTATGTCTAAATTCATAATACTCATAAAAGTGTAGGCAAAACGTACCTGGATGACCTACTACTTCCGGCGAGATTCTGAAGTGTGCATGAACACTTTACTATCCCATGAGGCCACGGTAGAGGATTTATGAATGGCAGTGAACTGATGCGGGTAGATCGCATGATAAATAATGACAACGAGAGGAACGTAGATTACATTCATACTATATGGAACATACTTTTTAGTGAAGTAATAACTTATTTAAAATTTCGGATACAGCCTATTCCCTGTATTTGCAATGCTTCATGGGACTGTTCCATCATTAAAGCTGTAAAGTATGCAGTCTTGTACTTTTGTCTTTTTTGCTTCAAATCAAAGTTTATATTGTTGTGATTCACCTCATAGCTGGTTGGTTTGCTTCGTGGCTTATAACTTTTATACATTTTTACAAAACATCTTTTTGAAATCCCATGGAAAAATACTTCCAAGGCAGCTCAAAAAGTGGCCCTCTATTGGCACAGCATTAGGATTAATCCTCTGTTAGTTTAACTGACTACTCTTTAAATTTGGCCCAGAGAAATCAAAATTTTTCTATTTGAATATTTAGCCGATTTCTCGACTGGTCCAGCCTATTTCCCACATTTCTGTCAGGCCAAACATTATTCCTGATGATCTTCTTCTCAGAAAGCTTATAAAACCAACCACTAAGGTTAATTTGTTTATTTTGAGCAGAGTGTCACATTAAATTAATTCACACATTTTGTTTATATTTAATAAATGCATCTTATTTTCCAATTTGCATAAGCTGGATATTATTTTCACAGGTTTGCAGGGATTAAGAATAAACTGTGACATAAGTCGCCACAAGGCTAAGATTTGGGTTTTCAGACTTACCCTTTTTGTCAGCTGGGTGTCCATCATAAAGTTATGTACATGTTTTTCGGCTTTGGTTAATTCCAGTTTTTTTGCGACCACAGCGACCACCAAAGCAGTGCATCCGGCACCCTGACAAGACAAACACCAGCCTTAAACACTCAGTCAAAAACAAAAGCTCTGTTACGCAGATATACGCTACTCACCATGATGCCGGTGAGGAGACACACCCCTTTCCCACAGTATGTATTTGGAACCATATCTCCATATCCAATCGTTAGAAAAGTTATTGAGATCAACCACATGGCTCCAAGGAAATTGCTGGTTACATCCATATTGTCATGGTATCTAGTAAATTGTAAATGACATATTAGAAAAACAACTACAGTTACTATACATTGACTGACTTAATTGTAAGTTAATAAATCAGCCATGAAAATGTAGCTAATTTATCTGGCATTATAGACGTAAGTAGTGTTGACTGACTCCACTACAGAGTATTGGACATGCTGGTGTTGCTGTAAGCTAATACTTAATTGGCTAATTGAGAGATCTAGCCTGTTGGGACACAATTGACTTAGTTTCCAAAGCTATTTAACTGCAGTTTAAAAGGTTACGCAGCACACCGGTCTGCAGCGTGAGAGATGTGATACTCCATAGGGTTTAACAGCTTGAGAAAATGGCACAGTATCTTTTTTTTCACTGAAATGATACATTTTGATACTTAGATACTTAGTTTGTAAAAATCACCTAGTAACTGTGAATTATTACAATTGTATATAATGAAACATGAATTCATGATAATTATATAGTTAATATAAGAAAGAATGAAAAAAAACTTCCAAAAATCACCAAGTAACTGTGAATTATTTTCTGTACATATATATTAATATGTAATTGTGAGTGTGTATTCTAAAAAGGTCATCAATGTTATTCACAACATGATAATGATAATAATTGTAGTTATGTATTATGTGTGTGAAGTAAAACCTGTGAATTATCACTACCGTTTATATATATACATGATTGATCTCATTTCTGAACTGAATTTATGAAGTCATGATAATGAATTGTATATATATATATATATATTCTTTAGGTCTGACTTAAGGATCTTGTCAGAGCAACAAAGTGGTCCACCTTTCACACGCCCTCACAGTCCAGGCGGCGATGATCCACAGAGAAATGGTGAAAACCAGCAGCACTGTCCCGGGACATATAGTCATGAGGGTCTTCATGACAAAGCGTGTGTTGAAGTTTATCTTGTTGAGGGCACCGATACTGCGTGACGAAGCATCGGTAAAGAGTTTGCTATGCAGCAGCATGACGCGAGCAATGAGGTACAGACGGAGAAACATGGGAATGGACAGGATTATATCCACGTCGGCGTCCGTCTTGGAAGGGGCGTAAGAAAAGGCTAGCCGCGCCGTCCACGTGAAGGTGTAGTTGCCCGGGATGGGGTGTATGGCGCACACCAAGATCTCCAGACAGATGAAGAAGATGCGCTCGTAGGTCATGGCTATCCTCCAGTCGTCTGCGGCGTTGTCCACCATGAATAGCTATTTGGAGAAAAAAATGTAAAAGCAAAGCTGTAGAAGCAGGAAAGAAACAAAACAATTTCATGTTTCTCCAGAAATGTAAAACAGTATAGGGTAAGAAACTTAATTCAGTTTAAAATTGTAAATAATAATTATGTAATATATAATTTTTAAAAATAGAATTATTTGCAAATAAGTCCAAATATCTCAAGTATTTTTTTCTTTAGCAGCAAGGAGTTATTCAGTGCACATCAGTGGAAACCCCACTAGACTGTATTTTCAACCTTGGCCTGTCAGATTTTGCCAAGGTGCGCTGCTCAAAGGCTTCTCTCGGGTTTCTCTCCATTTTCTCTCCACTCTTGCTACATAGAAGCTCCCTCTTTCTCCTTCTTCTCAATCCCATAAATATTTACATAATATAAAAGTTTCATTAGTGCATTAGTGCAGATTTCACTGTTAACTTTTTAACAGCTATGGTTCCACAAGTATTTTCCCATTTTTAAATAATTTTTAAATGATTAAAAAAAAAATCTCACAAAATTAAAACTTCCCATTCCCCTTGCAGCATCATCTCATCTATTCTCTGATGATGTGTTAACTGGCGTGAGGGCGGGGCAACCCATTACTCACATGAGATCCACCAATAGCAAACCACAACCATCCAATCAATTCCCCGTGGACAAAATCAAGTCCCACACTTAATTTGTTCTTGTTTGAGAAGCCGTTTCACTCAGACATAAGTCACAATAGAGAAGAACAACATATTTAGAATCGATATTGGTATGTTAAAAATCAAAATCATGTTTCAGCGCAGTCCTAGAATGAAAAACACATCCAATAAGTCACTGCAAAAGACGTGGCCAGATTTCTGAATGCACTTTTTAATGCTGTCAAATCAAGTAATCCAGACTAACATAAAAGTGTATGTTTATATAATATATGTGAATATATATATATATATATATATATATATTATTTATTTATATTATATACATATATGTAACAGGAAGATGTAGACACAGAATACACAGAAGATCTATATTCAAACGGGTAACTTATAATAATCGAAGAGGTAGCAATCCATACAACGAATACACACACCATAGAGTTAACATGGTGTGCTGATATAGAGTGCAGGATATATACAGTATGTGTGTAAATGGACACGTGCACACGCAAGCTCACACACACACACACACACACACGTTTATATAATATATATATATACAGTATATATATATATATATATATATATATATATAAATGTAATACTACACACCTACACACAGACCCACACACACATACAAACTTTTATGTTAGGTGCGATTTATCTATTTGACAGCACTGTGTATATATGTACACACACACACACACACACACACACACACACACACACACACACACACACACACACACACACAGGCCTATAGCTTAACAGAGAAAAAACAAAGTCACACAGTATTTTCATGTTTTCAAACAGCCATTCAGATTTTTGTATTCCCCATGGTATTTTTCAAATAACTCCAAACACAAGAGTTTAGAGACAAGAGATCATCTTCATCTTCTATTCACTGTAGCTTAGGAAAATACTTTGTTTGTGAATGCCACCAAGTCCTAGTTTTATGTAGCAGCAGTGTCTCCAGGCACAAGACCAAAAGCACAACTCAGTTTAAGTAGATGTGCAACGGAAAAGAAGGAAAACAGAGATTAGTACTCAATTGACGGCAGGCTAATATTGATGTCAGACAGAACAGACGCATTGCTACCGTTCAATTCTACTTTAAAATGTTTACTGCACAAACATTTGTGTTGGGAGTATGTGAACTCTTTTACATCATTTGCAATGTTTTATGGGAATGGGCAGTCAGAAACTTATGTAAAGGCTGGCCCACACTAGAAGATTTTTCAAATCTCATCAGATCTTCAAAATGTGAGAGACCACAAACATCAAGATAAATAAGTTAAAAATGTAACCGGTTTGTTCCTCTGGTGTGTGTGGAGTGCCACGATGTGATGTACAACACACACTAACAGATTGATTCACAAACAACCAGAGTCCCAGCTGAGAACACGGGAAATCTCACAAAATCTCTCGCAGCCAAACGTGACTTTAGACTAAACAAATATGGCGGACGACCAGCAAGAAGAAATAGTGATAATAGTGTTTACCATCAGCTCGCTTTCTGATTTGGTATCGCTTCGTTCCACGTGACAACCTACAGAGCACATTTGTCCTCGGGGTTCCCTCGCACAACAGGATTTCTGATCGTAAATATTCAACGTGTTGGATATTTACGATTTGAGATCAGTGTGGTCCCAATGATTAATTCACTCTCACACATCTCACACAGGTCTGCCAACTTTTGAGTTCAGCATGGAATGACAATTATTGGGATCACAAGATGTGTATTGTGACTGTCAAAACATTTGGTAAATAAAATGTTATTAGACAACATGTTACAATGTTTACATGGTACAGTGACTGGTGCTGTATTTTAATATTGACACAAATCCGATCTAGATTCAATTCGCTTCAAAATCAATTAACTGCGATATACCAGGTACAGTGCATATTCATTTTCTCAAATGCTGTAAACTACACAGAATACCGTCAGCTGACACTAATATTAAAGGTAAAAATTAACTAATTTGTATACAATACAATAATTGCATATAATGCAGTTTTTTATTATATAACAATACTGCTATAACATTATAAGTAAAAAAAACACTATAAAAAGTACAAATATAATTAATATTTAGGCTAATATAATGCATTTTTGACCCCCATCTGGAGTTTATTCTTCTAGCTGAATATTGAGTTCATGGTCACTGAATGGCTTTTCTGAGGTAAATGTTACGTCACATGACAGTTGGTTGAAACACTGATTGAGCGATTACATGAGACATAAGTTGTACTGTATCTTTCAACATTCCTTCTGATGTTCATTCATGTTTATTTCATGCTATAACTAGTAGTAAAGAGGAAGGGATGATCGGTTAACCTGGCACTACATTCACAAACCACATTCATTGTTTGCATTTCATGATAAAATTGACAGAATTAGAAAGCTGACACTTTGTTTCATATCAAACATAATAATTATAACAATAAATTATTCATATAGCACTTTTCAGGCATAAAATGCAGTTCAAAGGGCTTTACATAAAAAATGATATAGTTTAATAACAACAGCAACATCACATTCAATAAAAAACATGCGCCAAAATAAATCAAATTTAACCTTCTCTAACTTGTCTGTCTTACTGCGTGAGGATATGGATGTGTGGCGTGAGCGAACAGTGTCGATTGAGAGAGTCTCACGCTGAATGTGTGAGAGTTGGCAGCCCTGCCCCACACCGTAGATAAAATAATCTGTACAACCATCGTGATAATTGGGACTTCACCTAGGATTGCCAGAAGGGGAGAATTGGGCCCAAAAATCGACCCGATTACCTCGTAGTGTGTGGATGCCTTAAAGGGTTATTTTACCCAAAAATGAAATGATTAATAATTATCCCATGATTTTACTCATCCTCAAGCCATCCAAGGAATATACTGTATGGCTTTCTTCTTTGAGCCAAACATAATCAGAGTTATATTTAAAAATATCCTGACTTTTCTAAGCTAAAAATGGGAGTGAATATTTACTGAGATTTTGAAGCCCCCAAAAAAGCACATCCATGATCCATCAATCCATAAAAAAGTAATAAATACAGCACCAGGGGTTTAATAAAGGCCTTCTGAAGTGAAGAAATGCGTTTTTGTAAGAAAAATATCCATATTTGTACCTTCAGCCCTATTAGTTTGGACCGTGAGAGTTGTCTACTCTCACCTAAACTTAAACGCGTTGCTACGCCTACATCACACATCATGGAAGTTACCGGAAGCTAGTGATTACGGTTTATAAAATTATAAATATGGATATTTATCTTACAAAAATGCACCGCTTTGCTTCAAAAGGCCTTTATTAAACCCCTGGAGCTGTATGGATTACTTTTATGATGGATGGATTCACTTTTTGGGGCTTCAAATTAACTAGTCACTATTCACTCCCATTATAAAGCTTGGAAGAGCCAGGATATGTGTTTGATATAACTCAGATTGTCTTTGGCTGAAGGAGTAAAGTCGTATATACCTAGGATAGCTTGAGGGTGAGTAAATCATGGGACAATTCAAATTTTTTGGGTGAACTAACCCTTTAATTGGTCCAGGTCTTTTTACTATTATGGAGCGTGTAGTTCTTCACTAGAAATTCTTCAAAAATGAAGTTGAAATCTCACTGATCTTGATACAGTAGGTCTGTCTTGAGATTTGAAAGGTTTATTTTGTTATCGTCGAAAATTGATTTCTCTTTTGAGATAGTGAATGGTATTTTACTTGCGGAAGCAACCGTCAGATCCCTGCCCTTCCTGCCGTTCTGTGCCGATCATATGCGGTTTCATCCTGTGCATTCAATCACCTCAAGGTACCCGACAGTCAACATCAGCGAGCGATATTTCACCAGAGTGGTGCAGTCAGCACAATTCAAAGGCTTCGGCTGACAGATTTTATCCAACAAGACTGTGGCTATCTGATATGAGAAAGGCGCAAACGATGAACCCCTGATCCAATATGTGCAAAAGGGTTTCTTGCCTTCTCACAGCACAAGGCCATTCCCCGAGTAATGAGTTTATGCGGTGCGTAACTGAGTTATGATTTAATATGAATCTTGCTTGAGGCGTTAAGAGCTAGCTTCAGTGCTGTCCTGTGGTTTTCTCCTCGCTTAGTATAGCACATGTATATAAAACCTTAACGCTTGGACAGTTTAATCACATTTATGGTCACTTATTTACTCAACCTGGGGTGCTTGATCCACAGTATCTGGATCATCATACAGGTGATGTCTGATTGAATCAAGTAAAACCACAAAATATAAACTGGCACCTTGCCAAATAACCTTGATTTAAACCTTGGTTCCTAATCTCCAAATTCCTCAATAAGAAAAACAGCACCACTTCTGGAGACAAATGAGATTAAT